TAAAAATAAAAATAAAAATAAAAATAAAAATAAAAATAAAAATAAAAATAAAAATAAAAACTATACTACCAATTATAATAATCTAATTCAATTTTCTTCTTTTAGAAGGTCTTTATTCTAAATTACTATTTTCTGAATTATTATCATGATTATCTATTCCAAGCTGAGTATTATTATTGTTAGCACTGTTATTAATATTAGAACTACTACTCTCATTCTCACTATTATTATTGTTATTAGAAAATTATTATTATAGACATTTTTATTGTCATCATTAAATTCAGAATTATTATTATTAATATTATAACTATTATTATTATTATTAGAGGTATTATTATTAATTTCATTATTACTTTCATTATCAGAACTACTGCTATTGTTATTATCATTTTCATTATTATTCTCATAATTAGAATTTGAATCAGAATCAGAAAGATCGATAATAAGTTTATCATCAGTCATACTTATATCATCATCTCTAGTACTTAATTCAGAATCCGTATCTTGACCAGGTAATTTCTAATATTTACCAGGATTTTCATATACTATTCGAGCAGGTAAAGCCTTATCTTATTCATATTCAGGTTCAGGTATTCATTGTGTTTCATCAGTTTCAATACTAATACCATTAAGTCCTATTCTACTTCCATTAGGCCCATCTAAAAAATAAGGTGGAATAACAGGAGGATCATTATCCTCACCATTTGCATCATATCATCAGAGTCATAATCAGATTATGATGTTTTGTCAAAACAATCATCATAATTATTAGTACTATCTGAACTAGAACTAGAATCTAAACTTGAATCTGAATTTGATTTTACATCTGAATCAGATAGAATATCTGATCCAGAATCAACAAGGACATCAGGATTATAATCTGATTCTAAATTTGCTAAAGAATAATTTTGATTTTTAAATTTAATTTCAATATTATCTATATTTTCATTTATTCTATCATCATCTAAAAAAAATGAAAACCTAAATAATTCATTTCTATATCTAAAAATTGATTTAAAAAATCCAAATTATTTAAATTTAAAAATAAAATAAAGTCAAAAAGACAATAAAAAACAAATAGTGTTAAAGAAAAAATAAGTAAACTTGCTCTAAAACAAAGTAAAATAAGATAAAAAATAAAATAAATAGAATTGTATTTATTTAAAAATGGCACAGTCATTTTCATAATATTGATTTTATTAAGATTCATAGTATTAGTGAAAAAAAGAAACTTAAAAGATAAATTAAATTAATAAATGGTATTAAAAATAATGAATATAAAAAAGAAATTTAATTTCTTAAATAATTTAAAAAGTAATAACTTACAAAATTTTTTCCTAAAAAAAAGATAAAAATAAAAATATCTTTAACATTAAGAATATAAGTATAACAATATTTATACACTATATTTTAATAAGATTTAATATTTAATTTATTATTATGTAAAGGTAAAACATTATTAATATTAATAGCTCCTTTACCTATTTCATATATAAATCCAAAAGTTAATAAAATAAAGAAAATAATAGCTATAGTTAATCCATAATAATCTACATTTTTAATAGAAATAACTATAGGAGCAAATAAAATAAGCTCTACATCAAAAATCATAAATAACAATCCTAAAAGAAAAAATTGTACATTAAAGGCAGATCGTGTTTGTTCACCCACAGGATGAAATCCACATTCATAAACTTCTACTTTTTCAGTAGATGGTTTATGAACAGATAATAATAAATTAAGTAATAATAAAATTATTACTAAAATAGGTATAAAAATTAAAAATATGATAAAAGTTAAATTACTCATTAGAGTTTATAAAAAAAAAGTTGATTTAGCTAAAAGGTCCGCACTATTTAGTAGCATAGATGATTTAAATATGAATAATATAATAAATAAAGTTAAAAAAGAAATTACAAAACTTTGATAATTACCTATTATTTCATACAAATTATCTTTAATATAAACAACTCAATCGTTGTTATCTAACTTAAATTTTAAGTCTAATTTTAAATTTTTAAATACAGAAGAAAAACATAATATTTTCATTATTTTTAAATAATAAGAAGCACTTATTACACTTACTGTAATACTGATAAATGATAAAAAAAATAATCCACTATATAAAGTGGCATAAATTAATTGCTGTTTAGCAAAGAATCCTAATAATGGCGGTGTACCAGCCATAGAAAATAAACAAATAGTAAAACTTAAAGCTAATAAAGGAATAATATGCATTAATCCTCTTAAATCTTCAATATATATTACATCACTTATTCAATTTGAAAATTGTCTTTTATAATTTAAAAGATTTAAATCTTTTAATAATAAACCTAATTCTTTTATTTTATGTATTTGAAATAATATAAAACTAAAAGTTAATAAAATAAAAAATAAATCTAAATTTGTTAAAGAATACTGTAATAAATAAAAAATAAATGATTGTACAGAACAGTCAGTATTTAAAGATATAACTAATAATAAAAATCCTACATGTGATATAGTACTAAAAGCTAATAATCTTTTTATTCTTAATTGATTTAAACCAACTATAGTTCCTAATAATAAAGATAATAAGGAACTAATAAGAATTATACCTTGTAATAAATTTAAAGATTCTTTATTATAAATAGAATATGAATAAGGTTGAGATGCTATATCCATATTCCCTAAATCAGAAAAATGTAATACATGATCAGTAAAAGAATTTATACTGAGATTACTACTAAAGAAAAAAGCATCAAATGAGATACTAATTCCAAGTATAAATTCTAACAAAAATACAAATATAGTCAATTTAGGTATAATTGTTAATCATGTTGTAATTATTGTTGGAGTTCCATCATAAACATCAGGAGCCCAATTATGAAAAGGTGCTGCAGATACTTTAAAAAAAAATCCACATAAGAAAAAAAGAATACCTAAAACTATTCCTATACTTAACATATTATCAAAATTATTTCAATCTCCATTAAAAAAAAATAAAAAATTAAAATAATAATCATAAAGATAAGAAACATAAACCAGTTTATCTTCTGTAACTGAAATAAAACTATATAAACTATCAAATTGAGTTAATCCTGTATAAACATAAATTAAAACACCACCTAACAATATAAAACAAGAAGATAAACTACCTAATAAATAATATTTTAAAGCAGCAGAAATACTTGTTTCTTGTTCTCTAAATAGAGATGTATACAAATATACCCCAAAGGATTGTAATTCAATTGATAAATATACAGATATTAAATCAGAACTAGATATTAACAATGAACCACCTATTACTGTAAATAGTAAAAATAATGGAAATTCTTTCATTGGTAAACTAAAATTATAAGGTCAAAATGAAGATATAGATTGAACTATTTCCGCTAAATTTGTTTTATAATAACTAATTACTCTTATTCGATTTTTTTGTAATAAATTTATTTTAGGTATAAATTTTGTAATCATCAAATTTAATTTAGGATATAAATTTGATAAAAAAATATTTTGATACGATTCGTAATTTTCATTACTTTCATTTAAAGTCTTGTTATAAACATAAATGGGTATCGTATTTGAAATATTCACAGGTCAAGGTAACATAGCCAAACCACCTAAAATAAATAAAAAAATATCAAAAAATAAAGATAAATTAGTAATTTGAAAAAAACCACCTAGAATAGAAAAACCCGACCCTATTGATTTTAATTCATAAATACTAAATGTTAAAATACTTGAATAAAATAATATTAAAGAAGATATTCTAACAAAAAATATATTATTAATTGTTGATCTAAAAAGCACAATGGCTAGAATAAAAAAAAATAGTGACACTATTATCATCTCTTTATTTCTTATAAGAATATTTATTTTTACACTTTGTATTTAATAATTAAATATATAAAATGAAATATTTTTTGACAATCTAAAAATAATAAAAAGAATTGAAAAATTAGTTTTTTTTAGCTACGTATTTCACGATACTTCCACTTAAAACCTATTTTAATATAAAAAAAGTAAAACAAATACTTTTATTTTATATTAATAGTTAGAATCTTTAACTTAACATAGAACAAACTAAAAATTTAAAACAAATAGCAATATTATTTTTTAATTTCTAAACATAGTGTCTAAAAGCAGGTTTCAAGTTTAATATGCTTTCAACTTTTATCCCTTACATTCGTGGCTACTCAGCTGTGCCTCTAAATAAAAAAACCTATCAACAACTGATATACTATAGGAATATAACCATCTGATCCTTTCGTACGAAGAGGTCACCTTAGGTTCACTATTTTTCCTCCAGAAGATAGGGACCGTACTGACTCACGTCGTACTAAACCCAACTCACGTACCCTTTTAATCGGCGAACAGCCGAACCCTTCCTAGGTTATGCGCCAGGAGGATAGGATGAGTCGACCAATTTTGTTAACACTCAAGTTCTTTATCTTGAGTTTCCTAATATAACTATTAGGTTCAGACTATGTCTTCAAAACTTTTAATGACATTAATAATACTATTTTTTATTTTTTAATTACAGGTAATTTATATCTTAGAGTACTAATAACATATTTATTAATTTTTTCATATAATAAATGGGCATCGGAACTTGGAAATTTTATTACTCAATACTTTTCCTTGTGACTAATAACTTCTGTAGAAAAATGAAATTTAAAATTTAATTCTTTACTTAATATAAAATTTTCATCTTTGCTAAATCCTTGTGTGTGTAAAATTAAAGTTTTTTTATCCTTTTGTAAAGAACCATCACACATTATTCAATAAGCTAGTCCGCGTTCACTAAGGTGATCAAGAATTAAATTCTTTTGTACTACTTTTTTAAATTTTTTATTATTTTCTTGATAAATAAAAAATAAATTAAAAATTTCAGTAAAAGATTTATGAGAAAAAGTTTTAAACCAAAAACTTTTAATTTGACCCTTTCTCATACCTTTTAATTCCAATCTTTTACCAGGTTCTTCCATAAAAGAATAATTTTTAAATAAATCAAATAAAAAAAATAAAAATTCCTTTTGTAAATAACCTTGCTCAAACTTTATTAAAGCCTCTTTACTTACTCTATACATACTAGCATCACCTAATATCATACCAATAGCTACTTCTCTTAAATTAAGAGGTAAATCTTCTAAATTATTTTTTCAAGATTGTCAATATTTAGAATTTAAATGATATCCATTTCTCATATTTTTTATTTTTATAGTATCACTGATACTATTATTATTACTATAATTATTATTATTATACAGTATTAAATTTTTTTTCATTATTATTTCATCAAAAAAAAAATCTATGTTAGTTACTAGCAAATATATAGGTGCCGGTTTAGCTTATTCAAATAGTACTAATACAAAATATTTTGACACTAATAATTAAAAAAAAAAGTTTTGTTAGGATTTCATGGTATTCTTTACTTAAAATTAGTAAAAATACTAGTCGTTGAACGTTTAATTATTATTTTAAATAATTACTTCGCTTAAAATAATCTTAAATAATTTATATAAATTATTTAAGATTTCTTTAAATTAACCTAATTTATTCTCGACAAAAACTATCGAGGTGGCAAACGATTCAGACAATATGAACTCTCACGAATCATTACCCTGTTATCCCTAGCGTAATTTTTATCTCTAAACTACGGCTATTCCATAATAAACCGTAGGGTCACTATGCCCTACTTTCGTACCTGGTTGACTTATAGGTCTATCAGTCAAGCATGCTATATCATTATACTTTACAAATTATACATAATTTATTGGTTCCCATCCATTTTAAACATACTTTAAAAAAGGAGGTTCTTTGATACTCTATTAAAGACGTCCGCCCCAGACAAACTACCCATTAGTCATCTTTCCCTATATTTTATAAATAAAAAGTATATGGTAGTAACTAGACGTCAATTAACTAAGGTCTTTCATTTTCGTTTAAACAACTCCCTTATATTACTACAGATAAAATCTGAATAGAACTATAACTAACTATAGTAAAATTGCATAGGGTCTGTTGAAGCCTAATAAATATTTTACAATATTTATTTCTTCTAAGAACTGTACGTGCGACTTTCATCGCATACAGCTCAAGCTATTTAATTTTTTATATATTTTCCTCTATTCATAGATAATTTTAAATTTAACATTATATTAAGACCTTCTTCTGTCTTAAATATTTTGTCTTTTTTTAATAAATTTAAATGTTTTCATTTTTTAAAATCCTCATTTTTTAACGTAAATAAAGGATACTTTTCAATAAATTCTTCTATTTTATCTGTTTTTCTAAGTATATACCTAGAAACAGATCTTGTTTTAATAGTAGAATTTAAATCAGTAATATTATATTTGGGTTTTAAGTAACCATCTTGAAAAAAAACCTTAATTCCATTCAAAACAGCAATATCATGACTATTTTGAGCTATTTCTAAACTCGGAGTCAAAGACTGATAATAAGTATTTCTGCTTTTACGAGTAGCTATCCCAAATTGAAAAGAACCCTCACCATCAATGAAAGCTTGTATTCATTCAGGTTTTAAAGATATATTTAAACTATTTGTAAAATGAAATTTATCTTCAAATGTTCTTCCTTTATTCATATTTGAAATTATATTAAAAATATAGTCTGATTCTTTTAAAGTTATTTTTTTGTTATTAACTAAGATTTCAGCTACTTTTTCTAAATCTACAAAATTTAAAAACTTAGAAGTTACAAGAGGAAATAATTTAAAATGTGGAATAATTTTACAAATAATATCATCAAATTTAGTTACTTCATATTTCAAATATCCTTCACGCTCTTTTACTACTCTACCACATTTAAAAAATCGTTGTAAATCATAGAGTACACCACCCGAATCTTCTTTTTGACTAACTTTATATCCTAAAGTTATATTAGGCAATAATTTGGTGTTTTTATTTTTTAAACTAACAAAAAAATGTCCTTCAGCATCAGTAAAACCTGTAACTCATCAAGGATGTAAAATATTCTCTTCATTTCCAAGAATATAATTTCGAGGATTTAAATGTAAAACCCTTATAAAATAAGATTTATTTAATTTTAAATAAATCTACAGTATGGGTATCCAGACTCGCAGTCGTAGCGATATTGCAGTCCAAAGCTTGACCCAGAAAGGTGCACCGGCGTGAGAGCTCAGGAACAGGAAAGGCCACTGCACCGGCTGGTTTTCCAGAGGAGAAAGTTGCCACCAGCACGGGAAACACGTGCTAGTTCTCGAGCGAGACGCTCTAGAAGGCTTGCAAACATCGTACAGAGGATACATGGAACATGAAGGCGAGCAGAGAGACAAGGGTTGTCGACTGAGTAAAGAACAATGCATAATGCTCGTCGAAGATCGCGAAGAAAAAGGGGCCAAGTACTAGACCAGAAGAATCAAGTACTATTCTCGGTGTTGTCGTCTTAGATTAGAATTGTCCTGTGGTGACATCGTCGCATCGAGAGAGAGATGGTCCAGGTCGGGAGCAACGGCTGCTCGCTCACCTAAGCAAGACCACGCGAGGTTGCGACACGTCGATGCTGTGGTCAGGCTCGACCAAATTCAGGTTCCGAATATCTCTCTGCTTATCCACAATTACTTTCTACGTGCTTTCCCTCATCTGAGATCAAATCTAATACGCGAAGCGTGGTGCTTGAGGAAGAAAAACAATAACAATGGCGCCTAGGAAGAGGAAGAACGGCGAGCCAGCGACTGCCCCTGTGGAAAAGGCCGAGGCAGACGGCACTATTGAGGTCACCCTGGCGTCAGAACCGGTCAAGATCAATAACGCCCACTTGCGGGAAGTGAAGGATGCGCTTGACGATGCTGTACGACGCGTATGTAGCACCATTTGAAGTCCTGATGATCGGTGAAAGCTGATGGAGAGAACGACAGATGCTTACCCTCCCGGACCAGTTCAAGCAGAACCATCGACACCTGGACATCGTGCTCGCCCTTGGGTGGGGTTCTGTAATAGCCGCGGGTGCTACGGGGCTGTACGGGTACCTCGTAGAGTTTGAGAAGTCCAAGTTTCTCGTGGAGATCGGGGTGGCCTTGTGAGTTTATGGCCTTTTGTGCGTGCTGGGAAACAGTGCTAAACTTTGCGACGCAGGTATTGTCTATTGAGCTCGTTGCGATACCTGTACCAGTGGTTTGTCGGCAAGGATATCATCTTTGTGGGAAAGCGGCGTAGTGTCGCAGGCAGAGTGCGTCTATCCTATTCCTCTTTGCTCTAATGCCTCCTGACCATGCACAGATCGAGACCGAACGCCTGACACTCTCCGCGCGCCTTACGCCCACCCCTCGCTCAAACCCCACCTATACCCTCAGCCTCTCCTACAAACGCACGACCAACTCAGGCAAGACTCTGCTGCAGGCAACGACCGTTAAGCCTGGGAAGGAGACCAAGATTGCTACGTGGTTCGATGCGGAGGGGAACATGGACGTGATTGGGTTCCAGAAGTGGGCTGGGGAGGTTGTGGAGAACGCTATGGAGTCGAAGACTTCATAAGGATCGGAAGGGGAGAGAGGGTTATACCCTAGAGAGGTGGCGAGCCACTAAAATTGTATGATATGTTTGTTGTGAGGCTTGGTAATCCGATCTGCTCATGCAGCAGCGTTACTGAGGCAGATCCTGTTCATTTGCTTCAAGGTGAGAGCAGAATCTCACCCGGTGTTCCGATAAGAGTCCCATGACTTGGCGCAAACTGTTATCACACATCAGCGCACCGTTTTCGAGATTTCGCCAATACCCAGACTCGTCCCTAATCATGTACCGTTGTCAGAGTCTCTAGGACAGGGTATCCGAGCAAAAAAATGACCATGAGGAACCCCCGCTTCTCCAGTTAGCTCTCTTTCAAAGAGTCAGGAATGCATGCACATGGATCCGATCACTCAACAATGCACACTGAATGATTGGGATAGAACATGGTTCATTTTGCGCGCATAGACATAGCACATACAAACGCTCTCCAAATGACAGCAGCAAAACCAATCCCAAAATGCAGCTCGTCGTCATCTAACCCCTCTCCACATCACGCACTGACTAACACCTCATGCAACTAGTGTGCTTGCCGTCGCAGCATCGTACTTGAACGTTGGCGGAAGCTGCTGTTTCGTCTTGTAGTAACGGGCGAGGCGGTGGATACGGGACTCGATGAGGATAAGACGGAACTTGGAGTCCTTGTCTTTGCGGTTGACCTCAAGATGCTTGCGCACTGAGACAGCCTTCTTGACAAGGTGCCAGAGGTCTTCAGGGATGGAGGGAGCGAGGCCTACACAGCGGGAGATTTGTGAGCTATGACATGTATGAGATGGAAATGGGAGCGCACCGTTGGACTTTAAGATACGGAGAATCTTGTTGCCGGTGATCGTCTTCACCTGCGGGATACCCTGCGAGTCACGCAGCTGCACACCTATTTGGGAGGGTGTGAGGCCCTTGCGGGCCAGCTTGAAGATCTGATCGCAGACATCCTCAGGGGAGGTCTTATTCCAGGAAGGAGCAGCGCGGGAGTAGGGGAGAGCGGAGGACGCTGAGAACAGTGTCAGCAATGGTTTCAGTGTTTGAAAGTGAAGCATACGTACAAATGCCCTTTCCGGGCGCGTGCATACGACCCATGGCTGTCTGTAGCAAGTAGTTAGAGGCGAGTTTGAAGTAAGTAAATAGTTGACTCACTGATTAGTTTGGTGAGAAGAAGGTACCTACAGACGATGCGCTTTTGCGTGCGTTCGACGACCTCAGGGCGGGATACAACGGTGGAGAGCGCATACCGGAAACAATTCCGTGATTCCTCCAGCCGCAACTGTACAGTTCCAACTTTTGTTTCCGTGTGTGGTCCCTTCCTTGTAGACTCGGTCGTTCCCCTCTGTTGAAGCACAAGTTTCGTTCGGCTGCACCAACCTCGACCATCTCTTTCGACGGCGTAGTCCGACTCCAACAACATGAAGGTCAATATTGCTAGTGCGTGGAACTTTGCATTCGTGTTATTGTGAAAGATATTGATGGTGCTGTCCAGACCCCGCGACGGGCGCGCAAAAGCTCGTCGATGTTGAGCATGAGCGCAACTAGTGCGTGACAGAGCTTGCAATCTGTTCAGAGTCCTGACATTTCCCTCAGCCGCATCTTTTATGATAAGCGCATGGGTCAGGAGGTTCCGGCCGACTCTCTTGGTGATGAGTGGAAGGGCTATGTCTTCCGTGTTACAGGCGGCAACGACAAGCAGGGTTTCCCGATGAAGCAGGGTGTCCTCCTCCCCCACCGTGTTCGCCTTCTCCTCGCCGACGGTCACTCCTGCTACCGCACCCGTCGCACGGGCGAGCGCAAGCGCAAGTCCGTCCGTGGTTGCATCGTTGGCCCCGATATTGCTGTCCTTTCCGTCGTCATTGTCAAGAAGGGTGATGAAGAGATCCCCGGTCTTACCGACACCGTCCTTCCCCAGCGGCTCGGCCCCAAGAGGGCGACCAAGATCCGCAAGTTCTTTAACCTTTCCAAGGAGGATGATGTGAGGAAATTCGTTGTACGGAGAGAGGTGAAGAGCCAGAAGAATCCGGAGGCTAAGCCATACAAGAAGGCGTACGTTCATTTAGCCCAGCTATATGCTCATGATATTGACATTCTCGTTGCAGACCTAAGATTCAGCGTCTCGTTACCCCCCGCCGCCTACAACGTCGCCGTCACCTCCGCTCCATCAAGAAGCGGAGGACGGAGCTCCAGAAGGAGCAGAAAGCCGATTACGATGTTCTGCTTGCCAAGCGCGTCGCCGAGCGGAAGGCGAAGGTCCTGGCTCATCGTCATGCCGTTCACGAGAAGGCGGCCCACGCTCACACCGCATAGGGCGTCGCGTCGGGCTCGATTGGCGTTGGTTCTGAGTGTTGGCGGTGGTTCGACCGCGGGAAAAGGGTGCATGGGGCGGGCAGCTGTGTCTGTCTAGTAGGGATATTACGTGTGATATGCAGTCCTATGCCCATGTGTCTAATGCACTATCATCACATCCTGTCTGTTGTGAAATTTGCGACAACACCCACAGCCGCTCAAGGGTCGAGGTTAGGCCATGGACCCACACCCACGTCCGACAGCAACAATGGCATCACTACATATCCCCAATGGGTATACCATCCATCGCTGACGGCGGCCGAGTTGGTGTAACTTGTCATGAACAAATCCTACAAGGTTGACTGGAGCTCCGCTGGTCGATGTCTTCGTAGCATCCCCAAGAGTCGTGCTCGAGGTTAAGTTCCCCTTTTCTCGGCCATCTTAATCAGCTTTATTTGCGCTTGACATGCCTCCAGCACTCGTCCAATAAATTTCAGATTGAACCGCGCGTATCGTCGGAAAAGCGAAAACGGAAGGTTGTGTGCTGCGGACGCCCTTTGGGCCCTCGCTCTGTGTTTCCCATCACGGTGATACACTCACACTAATCACTCGATGATCTATGAAGGACTTTCATCTCAATGTTCCACATTCCAATTTCCAAAACACGGAAGTGCGCTGTCTGCTCTGTTTACGAAAGCGGGCCGTGCACACCATGCCAGCAAACCGTCGAACTTCTCATGTTGGTATATCCGCACCTAAAATTCTCACCTCTTCTTCTGTCCGCGGGCTCCGTCTGGAACTCTTCGTTGCTCGTACGACGGGTCATCTGTCCTGCATCTAGACCTCATGCTCAGACTTCTTGACTATCTTGAGGGGCACCTTGTCTTGTGGATATGGCCGTGTCGTCGACGCACCTTCCCACACGGCTCGCACCCGTGCCAGCTCACTTCCAGGATACTCTGCTGCTACAGGGCGCACTGATTCTCATTTTCATCAGGATCACTGGTATTACTCGGGGATGCCCCGCTCGCTTCTTTAATCAACGCGGTGATATGACGGATTCGAACCGATTTGGTGCGCCTGTTTACAGGTACACAGCATGAAAACGCAAGCTGCATCAAGGTCGTTTTCGAGTTCCCGGTCGGCACTGCGGTATCGAGCGCCGGAGGTGGTCGACTGGAGCACGGCCGCCGAATAGCGCTTCTGTGCAGGAAGGACACAGGGAGGAGCCGGGAGAATCTGAGAGTCCCCGAAGTGCTGCGGTTTGGTCATGTTCGCTGCTGACTTTTTACACCCCTAGGCAAGGGGTGGGACTTGCCGTGGGCCGAACATAGGGTGTATCTTTCTGTGGACCATGAGACGTTACTGAGCAGCCTGAGATATAAAGGCGCATCTTGCACTTCTGTTGACTTTTCACCGCACCCCTCCACGCTTTCGCGATGTTACTCTCTGCGCTTTGCCTCCTCCTCGCCTCCTCGCCCATTTCTGTCGATGCCTTCCCCGCTTATGCAAAGCGGTATGCCGGTCCTCGAGGGGACAACGCAGGGAAGTATCCGATCCTGAGACGCGCCGCGGCCCCATACTCTCCCGAATTCCCCTACACCGGTGCAACTCTGAACGGCCAAGCTGGCACTGGAGTCGGTGGGGTCCAGGTTCCAGCACCTGGTGACTATGCGCACTACTACGAAGATCCACTCCCCGGTGCTCAGCGCGGTCCTTGGTGCGTAAAGCTACACATCACCATGAAGAAAATGCTCATCCCATGTTCAGCCCAGGTCTTAACACGCTCGCCAACCACGGCTTCCTTTCTCGTGATGGAATCACCACCTACACGGAAATGGTCGCTGCCCTCCAAAATGTGTATAACGTATGTCTGTTTGCTTCTCTGGCATGGGCGTCGGTGCTCATAGCGAGCAGGCAGAGTTCCCAGTCGCGGTGGCGCTAACAGTGCTCGGATTTGCTTTGACAGATGGAGATCCTGTTTCAGAGATGATATCCATCGGTGCAAGCGTGCCTCTCCAAACGGGAAATTATGGCGAGTACACAGGAGAGTACGGAGGGGTGGACGAGCATGGGACTTTTGAGCTGTACGCATGCACAAAGCTGGACCTGCTTTCTCTCATTAACACATTTCAGGGATGTTTCTCTGACTCGCAATGACTACTACCTTAACGGTGACTCCCACAGTTTTAACGGCACTCTTTTCGGCATGATGGTTGAAACTGCGAAATCCACCTCATCCGCCGAGAACCCGTAAGCAGCCACAGTTCCCCTTCTTTTGACAGTATCTGATACTAAGATCAAGCCTTTTCGATTTCAATGCCATGGCTTTGTATCGGTCTCAGCAGTATGATCGTGCTCGCGTGGAGAACCCATGGCTGTACTTCCCTCAGCTTGCTGTAAGTTTTGTAGTTGATCCGAGAAATATTTGTGACGTGCTCGTTAGCTACACAACTACGGCGCTGCCACGTTCCTTTATAATGCCTTCCCTTCTTCGGCCAAGAACTACACCCCTGACTTGGAGACCATCTCTTCTTTCTTCGGGGCGGTGCAGCTCCCGAACGGAGAGTGGAGTCACGTCGGAGAGCGCACTCCACCCGACTGGCAGAATCGCGTCACTCCTCTCAACTTAACCGAAGTGAGCACCGGCCTCAGCGAGCTCTATGCGGCGTATCCCAAGGAGTACGGAGCGAACGTGAGCGGTGTCTGGTATCCCCTCAACACCACTGCAACTGCAGCGCGCAAGCGCCAGAGTGAATCCGGGGTCTTGTGCGGTGCCTACGATGAGATTATCCAGCACGCGGGTGAGTGTTTCAATCATGAGTGTGGTTCGCTCTTTGTTAACTCTATAACAGAGACCGCTCCCCATCCTCTGGCAATGCTCCAATTCGTGGTAGAGAAAGCAAACCCCGTTTTTGAGGCGGTGGGGTGCCAAGTTTACACCTTTTGAGGCATAGATAGAGTGTACGATCTGTGCCTGACGATAGGGAATTCGGACATATATGACTTGATAACACTGTTGTCGTTTACACAATATACTCATTATCTGTCCTATCGCCGGATATCGGTTAAGAAAACAGCCGAATCCCGATATTCAGGGGTATTGATATTAGATGGTTATCTCCTATATCGGCGATCTCTTAGGTGCCCTTACTTCGGTCCCGCACCATTGGTGCCTGTCTCCGGATCCGTATACACTATCATCTTCTTTTCTTGTTCCTTCAAGGAATCGCCCAACAATTGCTGAGGATGAAACAGTGGTGATCACGACCCAACAATTGAGCGCAGCCAGGAGTTCCGATCTTTCTCCACTCCTTCGACAACAAGCCTTTTATCTTCCGGGTGCCGATTCGTCATTGCTCAGTGATCTGGAGTGCAACTTGCCTTCTAGTACGATCGAAACGGAATCACCCGGTGCACCTTTTCAACGCCATTTATTCGCAATGCAGGGAGAAGCTCTTTGGTCAGGATGCGTTGATCATGAGCGCCTCTCGCGTACGCGTATAAGTGGACAGTGCCTGGCGCATTTACCTTCAACCCATCCCCTGTAGCGGCCATGTTACTTCAGTTGGCATTCTCTCTGGGTGTACTGCACATCGGCGCTGTTGGTTGTTCTCCAATTGAACCGCAGGCTGGAACGCTTGTTGATACCGCTCAAGGACCTGTTCAAGGAATGCTTGTTTCTGCTGGTGTACGCCAATGGCTTGGCATTCCTTTCGCAGCTTCCACGGGTGGATCTCTCCGTTTTGAACCCCCACAGCCTGCCCCGTCTCGGTTCAGTACATTCTCGGCCACGCAGTTCGGTGACTCTTGCCCCGCCATTCTGAGCGCTGAATTCTTGGAACTCCTTGGAATGCTACAGCAACAGGAGAGTGTTCCTTTCGGAGAAGACTGTTTAAGCCTGAATATCTGGTCGCCTGCAACAACCAGACCCCAGGGTGGTGCGATTTTACTGTGGGTATATGGCGGTTCTGGTCAGTTCGGCACGGTGCGTACGGTACATTCGTAAAGGATGATCGTAGCTCATTAATAAATCGTTCAGAGCAACACTCCATACTACAACGGCCAAACCTTCGTCGCGAACTTTGACGACATTGTCATTGTCACCATCAATTACCGGTAAGTCTCCGAATATATCTATATTTCTGCCACTGAAATAGTCCTAGATTGAATATTTTCGGGGGACCAAATGCACCGCAACAGACGCTTGATCTCAGTATGCTAGACATGGAAGCGGCAATTCAATGGGTGTACGCCAATATTGCGGCCTTCGGGGGAGATCCAGAGAGAATCACGCTCTTTGGCGAGAGCGCAGGGGCCATTGCCGTAGATGCTTATGGTTTCATCCATCCAGACGATACCATTGTGAAGGGTACTACAAAATGTCTGTTTTCCTTGGATCACCTGCTGACCCGCATCTTGCAGGTATCATCGCTGAATCAGGCACGTGAGTCGCTCGCACTTGACCTCGACTGGCTCGCTCACCTACTCCACCAGTGCTTCACTGGCCGGCAATTCTTCCACAGATTCGTCGGCGTACAGCGCCGCCGACTCGCCTTGGAATACTGTGGCGAGTGCGTTGGGCTGCGGAACAAGTAAATACGGGCAGTATTGTGTGATATTTCTCTAACACACATGTAGCGGACGATGCGGCTCAGTTTGCATGTATGCAATCCGTTCCTTGGCAGGACCTTCTCAATGAGGTCATTTCCAGCGGCCAAACTTTCGGCGGCGGCTCAACGGGTGAGCTCACTTGCAGGTGTATTCCGCCTTTGTCCTGATCAAGCATCCACTGTTAGGTCTGGTGGGCGACGTCAGTGCACTCTCTTCGGAAGGAAAGTTCCTTAAGGTTCCCTTTCTGGTGGGAAATAACGCCAACGAGGGAGACATCTTCGTGGTTGAAATGGAAGAAGAAAATCTGAATACGACCATCCCAATCGTAGGAACTGTGATAAGCGACGCTATCACGATAGTGAGTTTCAAATTCTCCCTACAGGCAAGCAGACACATTGATACTCAACCTCTATTCTAGCTATTGGCCACATGTCCGGCGTCTAAGGAAGCTGGTGATCGCGTGGATGCCGGCGTGCCCACGTGGCGCTACATGTTCGAAGGGGCATACCCGGACCTGACAAACAACAACCCGAATCTACGTGCTTACCATGGCGAGGAGATTGCCCTCGTGTTTGGAACGTATAACTATTCTACGTTCCCATACCCACCGACAGCGTAAGTCGCCTCGGTTCTTCGCAGATATGGGTATTGAGCTAGCGACAGGAACGAGATTGAACTATCCTCGTGGATACAAGGTGCTTGGGTGGCCTTTGCACGAGATCCAGTGCATGGACTTACGAACTATGGATGGCCGGAATACGGGTCCAGCGTCTTATGGCCCGTGGCGGCCCTTGGCAATCCCGGAAATCCCGGAGGAGCCACATATGAGGCCGCTGTTACGTTCGACTTGACCTGTGATGTCCTCGACACAGTCGAAGCTATCGTCGAGAATGTGGTTGCTCTATTGGGTGATCTCTTGTAGGACTCCATTCGTAGTAAGCTGCCGTGAGCTACCCAGTTAGCCGAAGAAGTCGGGGTTTGAGGAGTTGTGAGTGGTTAGGTTACCGAATTAGCTAGCATAAGCCTGATGTCGAGAATAACACGAGACAATTCAGCCATTTCGACTCTTATAGATGACTGAGTTTTTGAACCGAGAAAAAGTTGCTCGTGAATGGCCGGGTTGTCTTGGTGACCAAGATTAATTCTTGGTGTTGGAGAGACCCGCATTTGCGTCCGCGGGAAGACCAAGGCGTTGGCGCTTTCTTCAAGAAGGTCGCATGGCGCCCTTGTTCTCTCCGTCGATTCGGGCACGATGACCGGGTCTCTCTCCTCTCGCCCTCCACCCACCACTCCCTTGCCGCTTATTCAGCTCGTTAATACCGTTGCCAAGTCGCCAGCGTTTGCGGAACCTCAAAGGTCAACAACATACGGTCCGCCGTTACATCCGGATGCACTTTCTGCCAATCAGATCGATAACTTGTCGGGACTTCTTGCTGTACCCACACCGTCTGTACAGCGCTTTGATACCCAAACACCGGTTACGATGGCGGAATCCTTGGCAGGGTCAGGACAGAGCACCATCAGGCCTCAAGCTGGAAAACGAGCAGCAGAAGAGAATGGGGAGAATGAAGATTCACAGGAACGAGCGGCTAAGCGACCACGTATACCAACCTCTTCAACTTGGTCTCGGTCGGTAGTCGATAGCTCGTTGCCTGGGTTTGGAACCCAGACGCCGGATACATTTAACGTCAGGCTACCTGGAGGGCTCGTCCGGTACATGAAGTTGCCCCCAGAGCGACCTTTTGTGTGTACTTATTCTGTATCTTGTTCAAGAACAATACGAGTTGATATCTTTCCAGTCGACAGAACGAGACAAACTAACAACGCTCGGACGTATCTCCCGCCCCTCCTCTGCTGACCAATTTTTCGCACGGCTCAACTGGCGGGAAGTCAACACCGACGAAGGGAAACGAGCCCTCCAACAGCGTGTAGCAACCGGATTTATGCAAGTAATCCATGGGTATAAAGACGAATATGGAATTTGCTCATGGGATGAGCTTGCTAAGCTGGGCGCGCCGACTGATGTGTTGATAACTAAATGTACGAACTACTTTGAAGTTGGAACGATGGGTCGCTTGCTCATATTTCTAGATCCGTTCCACTCGGTTGGAAAGCTGACCATGGACCATAAAGTCACCCTCCGGGAGCTGCACAAGCTAGGTGCAGAAGGTTCCCTTCAGTGGGGATCAACTAACATCCCGTTCCAAACCGAAAAGCCGCCGCTGCTCGAGTATGTACCGCCTCCGGTACAATTACGTGTACTCTAATGTAACCCAGCTTCCTGGCAGATGACTGGACAGCCTGGAACCTGGGCTCGTCTCAACTACAGCGTCCCCCTCATGCCCGGCCCCAGTCTTTCACAGCGTTCAACACTCACCGCCTGATCCAGCGAGACGCTTTCACCAGCCTCCAAGTAACGGGGCGGACGGCGGTGCAAGTCCAGCGATGTGGGCACAGAGTGATCTTTTATTGCCGACAGAAGAAATTCGACCTTAGCATAGATGAGGTGGAGGCGCTGTGTACGATGGAGGATTATGAGCGGTTGGGGAGCTGGTACGTGCTTGTTGTCAGACCTGGGGATCTGCTGTAAGCGTCCAACATGTGTACATTCTTCAACTGGCTCACAAGAGTATTAGAATCGTACCCCCGGGATTGCGCTCCGCCACCCACACACCGGAGAACAACATTCTCCGCAGCTCTGAGCTCCTCCTTTTCTCCGGGATAAAAGAGTACGAGCGCCACCTCCGCGCCGCCGTGAGCAAAGAGCTTTGGTCCGCCGAGTTCGGAGGTATGGCAGCACTCAGAACGGTGTATAGACTCGTAATACTGTGGCAGCACACAAGGCCAGGTGGGCTATTTCTTTCAGTTGTGTAAGGCTGCTGACTGGAGTAGAGTTCGATCTCCCCCGCGCACAGTTCCTGGCCATGAGCCGGCTTGTGCTTAGGCCTGTGGACTACCTGCCCCCGCCCAAAACGGATGCAGAGCGGAGAATACAGTCCCTGTTTTTGAGGCTCCTGGTAAGTCTTACAAAGCTAGAACAAGTGGATATCAAAGGGAGAGCGGGAGTGAAGGTGCTAGATGGGGTCCTGAGGGAGGAGATGGCGGATTATGCGCTTGCTGCGACAGGGGTGAGGAAGGCGATGGTTAGGCTGGGCGTGTCGGAGGATGGCCTATGAGCACATTCACAAATCTTCTGTCGTTGTAGCCTGGGTGATTCTCAAAGTGGGGTGGGAGTGTGACGGGATGGGATAGGTCATGCAGAGTACATTGGTCTTCTTGCTACAGGCGATAGGATACCTGGAATCTCGGATCTACATCTGCATTTATACACCATCATAGCTCGCCTCTCCCCAACCCAGCTGCTCACATAGTCAGTATTGCCCTCCTTCCTGAGAACGACCTGAGAACGAAAACCGACCTTCCGCAATCAGAAATCGATAGGCTCCCAGTCGCCCGTCTCCCTGCTGTAGCAGCAACCTCAAGACCTGCTTCGCGCCTACAGGGGTTGGCTTTGCGCATCAAGCGCGGGCCAGGGCGGACCAAGGTCACGAACGGGAACGTTTCGCACGTGGATCCGCGCAAGTCGTTGGAGCAGTTTACTCCGTAGTGGGCGAACTGGGCTCTGGGCAGAAAGAGGGTAGCTTGGGGCGGACGGATGTACTGGCCCTGTCGAACGCATCTGCCAACTCTTCAATGTCCCATTGCCAAACGCCCTGCTTGTCTCCTTCATCCCCCTACCAGCCTCAGCCTGCCTCCATCTAGAGTAAGTGGAACAGGTGGAAGCGAGTATCAAGTTCGTCTCGTGCTGGCTGTTTCGCAACAGAGCGGGCAACTATCCGCAATAGCAGAACCCGAGAAGACGACCATGTCATCTGGCAACGTATAAAGAGGAAGAGTTGGCTGGGAAAGGCAATCCGAGGTCAACCTAGGCCGAAAGTGGTAACAGATGTCTTACATATGTTATAAGGAGGCGCACGTTGGTCAAGTCGAAATAAGGCCCCTCCACATGCGCACAGCAGCATCCTTCTGCCCATGATCATTTTCGGGATCACTTTCAACATCTTCCTCCTCGTCGCAACAAAGAAGTGCTAGGTCTTTCCCTGTGATTGGTCTTGGTACAGAAACGTCGGGGGATTCATTGCTCTCATCTTCATCCTTTCCATTTTCATGTTGGCTGCCCTGGTCAGAATCCTTTCGCTTCCTTTTCTTGGATGAGAGTGCATTGGGGGGGTATGCTGTGGATGCGAGCTGGGACCGATGAACGATCCGTTCCCCCACTCTCCACGCGCGTAAAGGGAGCTCCATATCCACTTGCTCGAGCCTCTCGCGTATCTCTCTGTCAAGGCCGACTCGTGCGTCCTCCTCAAGGTTGAATAAAAAGAAATAGAAGATCCACCAATGAGCTGCTTGGGTCATAGCGAGCTCATCGACGACGAAGACATGAAGGCGCTGAAGTGAAGCATGAGATGAGCTCTATATACAGTATTCGGAGATGTTCGCACTCACGTCGGGGTCTTCCTTCTCGGCCATGCAGCCCAGGATCCTGATATGTGTAGCATTCGCTACAACAGCGAAAGATGGCTTTCTAGAACACCCAAGCGCTTGCCGGTGTCGTTGCATGGTGACTACGGTAAAAACAGCTTGAGCGGCGTTCGCCCAGACATTTCTGAGCTGGTACACCACGGCTAAGAAGATGAATGATAGCCTGTGAGAAAATCCAGAATGCATCCAATACAATTCTTGCTTTTGCGGAGGGGATGCACTATGTGTCGCGGCACCGACAAGAGTTTGAACTTTTGTTGAGACTCGGTATACCAACACAGCGTCACTGGTGGCCTGGTACAGGTAGCCTTGGTTATTTCCCGAGCTATCGTACAGCGTTGCATCTGCGCTTTTATCTGCTGGTCCGGGAGTCTCAATCGTAGCTTCACACCTATAAACAAGGAAGTCAGAGTAGAGTCAAAATTGAACGAGAAAAACAGACCAATGGTATGTAGATGCATCATCGCTTGCCATAGACCCAACACGCACCAAACACAACAGAGTACCCCAAATACCGCGAAGTGTAGCTTCGTTCATCATGTCGTTTGCTGCGAGACCAGCGTACTGCGCTTCGCATATTTGACCGAACAGACGTTGCATTGTGTTAAACCTCTTCATGACTTTGAATTTGTCTCCAACAATGAACCAGTCGTCTTGTAGGTTGCGCGTTTGTTTGAGAAGCTCGTCCGCGTAAGGACCGTCGTACTGATCCATCGGGGGAATCGGTTCCTGCATTTCAAATTAGGCAAGTGATCAGGTGATCAGGGGATGGGTATTGATATTTGCCGTCTTCAATTGAACTGGGAGCGTGCCGTTGCACAACCGCTTATATTCATCGGCCACCTCCTCTCGCAAGCTCTCAACAGTGGCCGCGGCTTGCGCGACCTTAGAGCGGCGCCGAAGCAGAGTGTCTTCGCCGACTACAATAGCAGGCGCAGCCAAGTCCATTGATCTCGCAGTGTGCTTGCTCTCGCACGGCTCTCTAGCGAGATCCTCGAGGTTGTAATGCAAAGTGACACATACTAGAGCGCACCACGACTTGAAAAGGTTGTCATCCGCGGCCACCTCACTGTCAGCACTGCCTCGCGCATGCGACATGAAGGGTACGGACTGAATGAACGGTTTTCGAAGAAGATTAATATTGTGCCAAGAAGAAGAGGATCGTTCGTTCTGAGTGTGTCATATATAGCTGACAGATTTGACTCCGCGCCACGTGATCCTAGGCGCTACCTGCCTTCGTCAACAGACGCAGAGGGGAGCCGGATCCAGTCAATATTTGCCCACTGCTGGCGAATCTTAACAAGCCGTAACACCTCGGGGCTCAATGTACCGTATGTGGTGTTGAGGAAGGAGACGGTGGTTTGGGTGCTTGCGGCGGCAGGGAAAAGGTTCTGCCTTAGGTACTTAGTGGCCATGGATGTGGAGTGACTCGGAAGTGAGAAGGGAATAGGATAGCGCACGCAGAGTACATTGGTCTTCTTGCTACAGGCTATAGGATACCTGGGATCTCGGATCTGCATTCGTATCTATACACCATCATAGCTCGCCCCTCCTGCCTACACACAGAGTCAGCACCACTCGCCTCCCAATCTCAAGGAACGAAACCAACCTTCCGCAAGCGGACAACAATAGGTCCCTCCTCCAGGTCACCCCTCTCCCTAGCAGCGACTTCGATCGAGTACTGCCTCAAGACCTGCTTCACGTCCCCCGCATGGACGGAGACCTTGGCTTTGCGCATCACTCGCGTGCCAGGGCCGATCCAGGTGACGAAGACGAACTTTTCGCGCGTGGAGTGGGGGTCGTTCGAGTAGTTTACTCTGCAGTAGGCGAATTGGGCTCTGGCGTGGGAGGGTTAGTTGGAGTGTCACCTTGGATAGCGGGAAAGGAACGTACTGCCCATCATCGAACGCTTCTGCTAATTCCTTCAACCCCCCATTCCCTGATGCGCCAAGCACGAGCTTGTCCCCTTTGTCCCCCTACCAACTTCAGCCAACCGTCTCACAACGAGGGTGGGAATGGTTAGGACGCACTTCATACGCTACGAGCATCCAGTTCGTCTCGCTCTTGTCGTCCCTTACGTCGGCGTACGCTACCGTCTGTCAGGCTTGTTTGAAGGATCTGGTACGTGGACGTACCCTCCGCGATAGCAGAATCGGATACGTCAGCCATGATATATTCTTTCTAAGGTATACAGAGCAAGAGCGGGGTAGTTGACTGGGAAAAGTAACGGTCTACCGACTTGATGGTAACGCTGGTCCGGGATGTCGGCTCCGGTGCTTCACAGCCACTAATATCAGGGTCCAAAATATATTAATGAGAATTAATGCATTTTGTACACTTTGTACTCAAACTGTTGACTGCACACGACCATGACTGGACGACTTGCTCCACGTCCACGGCGTCGGCCTCCAAAGCCAAGCGAGACTCTTCGCCCACACGTACGTCTACCCCCCGTCTCCTCACCCCGACATCAACCATTCACCGTCCCCAACTCTCTCCTCCCACCTCCATCACCGCGCAAGCACCCTGCCATCTCTCCCCCCAAGCGGGCACCTACCCCAACGTCCTGGACCGAGCATAGGGCGAGCTTGAAGGAAAGGTTCCCAGAGGGCTGGAACCCCCCTAGGAAGATCTCGAGGGAGGCCATGAACGCTCTCAGGCTGTTTCATCAGCAGGATCCAGAGCAATTCAGCGTCCCCATGCTCGCTGCGAAGTTCCTTATCTCCCCCGAAGCGGTGCGTAGGATTTTGAGGAGCAGGTGGCAGCCGACTGGAGAGAGGGAAGTGCAGTTCCGGAAGAGGGAAATGATGGATGAGCAGCAGGAAGAGCTGGACCGCGCTAAGAGGAAGGAAGAGGCACTCAAGAGGGAGGTCATGAAGCGCGCTATTACAGCAGCGGGATACGCAGTCCGAGCTCTGGGAGGTACTGTCGTCCCTTCTCAGCAGGAGAAAGACGCAGACGAAGAGGGGGAAGACGAAGACGAAGAGGGGGAAGGCGAACTCGTCCTACTGCCCGCTAAGAGCAAGAGGAAGGGCAAATACAGGGAAACGCTGGACGATCGACTCCTTGCATCCCGTCTCCGCGCAGCACAAGAAGCGGCACACACCGCGCAAGCCGTTATCAGTTCTCCTAAGCGAGGAGGAGCGAAGATGTCAGAGTTTATCTCCTCCCCTCGCATCTCCACCCCTTCCTCATATGAAGACCCCCCGCCCTCCTCAGGCCCCCAAAAAGCAGGAATAGTATACTCCTACTGTCCTCCCTCACTGCAACATCTCTCCTCCCGGATATCCTCCATCCCGGACCTCTCAGCCCCGCTCTCTTCCTACCTCTCTTCCCCCGATACCAACCCCGGCCTGCAACAAGCATACGAGAAGAGGATGGAACAGCGGTTTCCTGACCTGGGGGTGGAGGGGGTGAGGGACTTCCGAGCTGAGAGAGAGAGGAAGAGGATAGGGAGAGCCCGGGGAAATGGATGGGACGAGCGTGCGAGGACGGGGGTTGATCTTGTGCCCGTGAGGGAGGAAGAGGGAGGGGCGGAGGAGGGGGAGGGAGGGCACACTGGCTTGCGAAGAGGGAAGGGGAGTGATGTGCCTAACAGGACATTGACGACGGGTCAGAGGTTAGGAGGCTCCATCTGGGCCCCTCGCCGCCCTCTCGAGGACAGGAACACTCCCAGAAGAGAGCTGCGTCCTGAATCAGCAGCCGAATCGACAGCAGCCGGTGCAACGCGTGCCAGAGCCGCTATCGAGCGGCGCTTAGAACGGCGGATGGAGCAGGACAGCTTCAGGCTGGAACAGGAACGGAAGGCTGAGAAAGTGCTTGAGAGCAGGATGAGCGCTTTGAGGGGTACTTTACCTAGGCAGGAACCGTGAGCCTCCTGTGAGAGCAGGCTGGGAGTGGTCAGGGGGATCGTCATGTCATTTCATTCATCCGTGGTACATCTAATAACCCATCTCATGCGGGCGGCTGTAATGCTAAAATCGAGTGGAAAGAACAGGAAAAGAAAAGAAGGCCAGATGAACGGACATGTAGTTTCCAGATGGTTAGATCTCGTTACTGAGAGGGATCCGGTAGCACCCGTCACCGAAGGCCTCGTCTTGTCTTTCAAAGAACGTCCCGTCTGCAAAAGGCTTCTTGCACGTCTACGGGAATGCTGTCAGGAGGCGATCTTTGAGCGTTCGCTGATGACATGGACTTACCTCGCAGGCAAAACAGCTCCAGTGCCATTTACCCCGCTTGACCTCGACAGCCGTCTCAGCCTCTCTGATGGGCTTCTTACACCCCTTACACTTGGGCAAGTGCAGCCTCACATGGCACATCTCGCAATACGGATGCCCTGAGTGGTCTTCATCTTGCGATCGTGTGGGGACCATGCCTCCCTTCTCCCCACCCTCTGCCTGCTCTCCCGTCCGATCCTCCTCCCCACTGGGCTGCACCAGCCCACCTCCCTCGTCTTGTCTGTCTGCCAGAGCCCCTTCGCCTGTCATTTGGACGTCTCGGTGAGGATGGTCGACCTGTCCAACGTCTGTCAGTCGAATGCCATCGTCTGGGACGTTGTAAGACGCACCATTGCAGGGATCCTACAGTTCCAGCGTGAGTACATGGAGCCCTAAGAGAAGTTAGGGATCGCGATTGCTAAAGAAGGCAAGGGGCTTACTGGGTCGACCCACGTCCAGACAGGGGGGGTTCGTCGTGGAAATGGAAACCCATGACACTCTGGTCCCGAGCAAATGTTGGATAGTCAGAATAATTGATAAGTCGCTACTGCCTTCTTGATCTCTGGTCCGCAGACTGGTCGTCGATACAGGTACTAGATGGTGCTGAGAAGACCAACGACATGGAGCAATTATAGATTCAGTGCGCTAAATAAAAGAATTTGTGGTGAGTGGTGAGTGGTCCGCGCGGATGGGGGCAGCTTGGCTCCGTAATTTCCGCAAAGAGAATTCCTCTTCTGGTCCCGCCACGGCCTCTCTAGATGGGGACGATCGACTCCTTGCATCCCGTGTCCGTGCAGCACAAGAAATGGCACACACCGCGCAAGCCGTTATCAGTCAGCGATTTCCCGACCTGGGGGTGGGGTGGGGGGGGTGAGGGACTTCCGAGCTGAGAGGGAGAGGAGGCTAGGGAGGGAGGGCCCGGGGAAATGGATAGGACGAGCGCTTAGAACGCTTGAGGCTGGAGCAGGACAGCTTGAGGTTGGAGCAGGAACGGAAGGCTGAGAAAGTGCTTGAGAGCAGGATGAGCACTTTGAGGGGTACTTTACCTATGCAGGAAGCTTAACCTCCTCTGCTGCCAGAGCAGGCTGGGAGTGGTCAGGGGTCGTCATGTCATTTCATTCATCCTTGGTACATCTGATAACCCATCTCATGGCGGCTGTAGTGCTAAAATCGAGTAAAAAGAACAAGAAAGGAAAACAACAAGGCCAAACGCCTCTCATACAATTGCAACAACATGATGCCCAGAATCGACGCTCGCGGAACCAACCAAAGGCAAACTATGCAGAACCAAGATGAGTGAACCCAGGTGAAACGGACACGTACTTTCCAGACGGTTAGATCTCGTTACGGAGGAGGATCCGGTAGCACCCGTCACAGAAGGCTTTGTCTTGTCTTTCGAAGAACGTGCCGTCTGCAAAAGGCTTTTTGCACGTCTACGGGAATGCTGTCAGGAGGCGATCTTTGAGCGCTCTCTTACCGCATGCACTTACCTCGCAGACAAAACAGCTCCAGTGCCATTTACCCCGCTTGACCTCGACAGCGGGCTCAGCCTCTCTAATGGGCTTCTTACACCCCTTACATTTGGGCAAATGCAGTCTCACATGACACATCTCACAATACGGATGCCCTTTCCATATGGTGAACCCCACTTCGTCCTCTTCCTCATTCTTTGCGTTCCCCGTCCCCGTAAGCGGGGCGCCACACGATTTAGACGGGTCGAGGAACGGGTCCCCACATTCTGCGCAGAAGAAGTGGAGCTCGTGATACGTTCGCGGGCCGCCGGGGAGGGAAGGGTCGTCGAGTGTTATGAACTGGGAATCGGCGATAGGCGTCTCGCAGTGATAGCAGCGGGGGGCGAAGTGCTATTCTGGGTTAGTGGGAGTTGGAGTTGGTACACACGTGATGAGCTCACTTCGTGGTAGTCGAGATGACAATAGGCCTTGCCTTCGTGCGCAAAGCTCGACACGTGCTCCAACAGCTCGCCACATTTCTCGCATCTGGGGAATCATCAGCCTCTCTTCCTCTTTAATGGGAACGGGACCCACTTGAAACAAGCCGGATGCCAGCGTTTATCCATTGCACTAACAATACGGCCCGTGATGCCTCCTCCACACCCGGCGCAGAACAAACCTGCACGATGCCTGCTCCCTCCTCCTCCTCCTACGCCAGTGCTGGAGCCCGAGCTGGAAAGGGAAGACGAGGATGTGGATGTAGATGTGGATGTGTCCGGCCCGGTGAAGGAGGTGATGTTGATGCTCGGAGAGGAGGTGACGGTGATCTGCGGTGCAGGGGGGAGGTGCGTGTCCTCTTCCTCGGGAAGGTTGATCGAGGGGGTGTCTGGGGGAACGTTGATAGAGGGCACGTTGATTGTAGGCACCTCGGGGGTACTGATAGAGTGTACGTTGATTGCCGGGACATTGGGCGCTTTGTTATCAGGCACGTCGACAACGCTAATGGAAGGCGTCTTGACAGCCGGTACACCAGGGACATTCACAGCCGGTACGTCGATAACAGGCGCAGCCGGGGTGACCCCACGCCCGTCACGCAGGTCAACCACGGGCAGAGGCACTCCTCCCAGGTCCTTCCCCTTCCCAAGCATAGGCATCCCCTCCGGCGCGCGGTTCTCCTTATCCTCCCCAATACTAGTCCGCGGCACAGGTAGGGGTCTCCTGCCCTGTTGTTGCTGCTGCTGCTGCTGCTGGGGGGGCAGCACGTTCCCACCCCCGCTATGGGAGGGGAAAGGCATTCCCCCGTTCCCGTTTTGGGAAAAAGAGCTAGTCGGGAGAAGAGGAAGTGAAGGTGTCCTTCCACTCCTTGGTGGCACCCTAGGCGGCCCCCCGGCATTCGGCGTGCCCAGCGCCCGGAGCACGGAAGGGTCCAGTTGCAGGCCAGTGCTGGATATTGGCCTGGGAGGGGGGAGGGGAATGCCTGTGGGAGGCGGGGGAGCGGGGTTGGAGAGGTTGGGGTTGAAGGGGGAGGGGTGGGAAGGGTTGGAGGGGTGAGAGGGGTTGGAGAGGTTGGAAGGAGAGGGGTTAGAAAGGTTGTACAGGTTGGAGGAAGAGGAGTCGAACGACCCTGGAGGCATCGACATAGGCATCTGCATCGGAGCGCTCTGAGCGTTCTGAGCGTTCTGCCGGGACCTGTCATACGCCTGAGGCAGAGGTTGAGGCTGAGGCTGGTCATACGTCTGAGGTTGGGGCTGAGGCCGAAGTTGGGGTTGGGATTGGGGCTGCTCGTATGCCTGAAGCTGAGTCTGAGGTTGGGCCCGAGGGTCATACGCCCGAGGCAGAGTCTGCGGTCCCAAACCCTGCATACCCTGCATACCCAGCTCCCTCCCCCTCCCCCCCTGCCCCTGCCCTTGCCCCTGCCCTTGCCTAGGCGACCTCAGCCCGAAGCGCGCCTCAACAGCCTTCTGGTGCCTGGCGTCCATCTGTTCCCACAGAGCGCGTGTGCGTTTCACAGGTGATGTTGGAGATGTTGGGGACGCTGGGGATTGGGATGTGAGGTTGGGAGATGTAGGCGACCTGAAGCTGGGAGACATGGTGTTGCAGGTATTGAGAGAAGGGGAACTAAGGGAAGGGGAGGTGAGTGACGCTGAGACGTGGGAGACGGAGACGTGCTGCGCATAGGGGAACTGTGTTGTCTGAGAACGACCAGGCGGTTGAGGAGGTGAACGGAACACTCCTGTCCCCGTCCCCGCGGTCGTTCCCGTCCCAAAGCCAGTCCCAGTCCCATTCACCCCGTTGACATAAGCCCCAGGCAGCCCATAACCCATCCCCATCCCCCCCATTCCCCTCCCCCTCTCCCTC